ACCCCCAGGTCCTTTTCGGCCAGGCAGCTTTCCAGCCACGATGTTCAGTGGGTCTGAGCAGCCGGCATGCCCGACAGCTGGCCTGCATGTCGGGCTTGCCTGTGCGAGGGCAGCGGTCTTGCTGCACCCAGGCTGTACAGGGCGTCCTGAGCACGGGCACCCTGCAATGGCCCCTGCCCGAGGTGGGATGTCTGCTCCACCGGGGAGCTGAATGGCCTGCAGGGGAAAGCCCAGGGAAACAGAAATACAAAGCAGCCCTCGGTGTTACAGAAGAGAGTATCCAAAGAGCGTCCGTAGCTGACGACGTGCATTGCAGCTACGGCTGGCCTAGTGCTGTGGGAGGCACTGTGGAATGGAGGCAAATCCCCATGAGTACGGAGAGTTTTCCTTGAGACACTTGAATGCAGCTGTTAGAGGACTGCATGCCCACTCCTAGCATCTTGCGTCTCTACAGTTTTCTCCTGCACACTGGCCCATTTCCTTTTGCCGATTCTCTCTAAATCTTCTCTTATTTCTCCTCTTGCTTACTGCATCGGGTTTCTTTCCAAGACAATTACTCCTTTTTACGTATGTCTTTACCTAGAATAGCATGAAAGAAAACAAGACCCTGACGTGAGTTGGATGTTTATAAACCAATATTATTTGGCTGCACAAACACGTAGTGAGTATAATTGACTTCCACTGTGACCATTGGTACTGTGCCTAATTACAAATGCTCTTAGCTTAGGTTGAAAATTACTTCCATGTCTTGAGCAGTTTGTGTATGGTACATTTGTTTTGTTTAAATTATTTATTCACATAAAAAATATAATAGAAGGCTAATTCAGACAAAAAAGAAGAAATCAAAGATGCAGTCATGTAAGGAATAGCACAGGCACTGGAGCAAATAAAAGACCTGTGCTGAGCTGATCTGTGCAGCAGCCATGTCAGCGCTTGCTCAGTCTTTGGGTGATTCCAGAGGCAAGCTGGGCTTCCCCCAGCAGAGCATTAAAGGAGAACAGCTCCCCATGAGATCGTTTTTAAGCAGTTTGCTGTTTCTTTCCTTGGACTGTGTCACTGGCTACATAGTGTGGCTGTGAAAAGTTTTCCTTTGAAATCTTTCTTGAAAGAAAATATGGGGTTTAGCAGAAAGGGCATGCTTTGCTTTAGAAACCATAACAGAAAGCAAAACAGAAGGTGAACATTATAATCTGAAATATGAACTTTTCCATTTCAATAGTTTCAGTTTTCAGAAGTTTTCAAAGTACAGCTGAAGTTTTCCACAGAAAACTTAAAGGAAAAGGAGTGTGTGGGAGTGTGTGTGCACATGTATATTGTTTTTGTCAGGCTTTTCTGTGAAGAAAGATCTTTATTTTCTAGTCAGCATTATTACCTACCTCCTTTTGTTTGCATAAGAGGTTGTTAAAAAGATTTAAACCTCCCCCCTCAAACCAACACTAAGTCCAAACAATCTAACCCCGCAAATCATTCCTTTTTTCTTCTTTTAGGATTTTTCTGCAGTGCCTATAGCTGTTGCATCCTTTTGTGCATGACAGTGCGGTGTTCAACCGTGTGTTGTAGAGACAAAGTCTTAGGCAGAGGGCAATGTACCTGGTACCAGATCCAGAGTGGCAGAAGTATCTCAGAAGTCTTTGCATGAAGCTGCAGTGAGTAGCTTCTGCACTTCCCAGGTGAAGGAGGGCTTCATGGCAGGGGTTGACAAGCCCGTAAGTCA